CAGGGTCTAGAAATAGCAGTATGAGAAATCAAGTGATACTTTCTTTGTGTTGTATTTTAACATTGCATCAGCAAGATTTTCTTAAGTTAAAATCTGAAAAAATACGCTTTTTTTACTCCGATAAAAACAATAATGTCAGCAAGCTCATTGCAAGAATCAAAGACTTGTTTGCATTTTAAAAGATCATCTCATGTGCTTATTTTTTCTTATTCTAAAATGAATGATAAATTGTAATTAATCTAATTTTAATTTTTACTTACTAAAATTAGTTGCACATGTACATAGTTAAGTTTTCAAAAGAGCTGGAAGCTTGCTACAAAAGTTAGCAGATCTTGACACATTTTGCTTCATCATTTCCCACTCCTCAGAGGCTTTCAGATATTTTAGTACGTTCTTTTGTTATTCTTCAGTTTTAGATATTTATTGACTTCTTACTTTATAACAAAGATTCAGCTCTCTTTCATCTCATGTTTTCACTACTTTTAGTTCTACTAGCATCATTATAGTAATATACTTTTTGATTAGTATTTAGTGTATCTGATATTTATTATGCAAACACTGTGTGTGTGCTTATCTGATATATATTATGCTATGGTTACTTATGTTTTTTTAGTCAACATTTTTTCTCTGAAGTTAATAATTGTTTATTCAGTTGCATGGTTTTCTTGTATATACTGTTGTTTTTGTGGAGTTAAATCTGTGTTTAAGATACCATCTTTATTGAGAAATTCGTCATCTTTTTCATTGGGAGAAATATGAAAGGGGTTACTATAAAGAAGCTATTGAAGCTCAGTTTTAGTTTATGAGTAGTAATTTGAATCATCTCTTACTGAACTGGTTGAGGCTTCCCACTTAAGATGGGTAGATTATTTACAGTTTTAAGTTATTCATTTGTTCATTTACTTTTTATTTATCGAGTACCTACTATGTGCCAGTGTTTTCTTCCGTGTAGTGTAGATAATTGGATAGGTTTTTTTTTACAGTCATTAGTTTTTTGTTTTTTTTTCTCAAAATTATATTACTGTTCTGCATCTAATCTATGACAGAAGTATGTTTTTTAAATGGCTTAATTATGTGATCATTTTTAGGCCTGTTCCACTGAGTTTTGCACTTAATGTGCCTGTTTTTCTTCCCTTTTTTTTGGTTCATATGTATGAAACATTCACTGTTTAAAATTGTAGTGGTTCAGAATATCTCACCTCCTCTCTCCCAGATTTGATAGACATGGGTCTTAACTGTTCCCGTCATCATACTTCAGGTGTCCCAGCTGTCCCTGCCTAGAAACAGGAAGAAGGGAAAGGATCTCTTTTTCCCTAGAGAGTAGCGGATCAGGCTGTTTCTTTACATCTTTATTTCTAGCTGGAGTGTCAGCATTTCTGACACCTCTTTCGTCATCAGTAAGAAAAACGTAGGGAAGTGCTTGGCTTGAGCTGAGACGTGAGGATGTTAACGCCTCAGTGTTGTGTATAACTGAGTGTCAGCATGCAACGGTGATGCTGCTCATTGCTTAGGAGTGTAATTTGACATTTGACAGAATAGCTAAAATTCTTGCCTGATTTTTTCTTAAAACCCTTGAAGTAATAATGCGTTATTGATTGTGTGTATAGGCCTGAGCTTCATTCACGGCAACTAACTTGGAATCTATACTAAGCGGCATATGTTTTATTATTTAGGATGCGTACTGGATAGCAATGAATAGTTCTCTGAAGTGTAAAACCCTCAGCGACATCTTTCTACTGTTCAAGAGTTCTGATTTCATCACCCGTGATTTCACTCAGCCGTAAGTATATCTCTTGTTTCTCTCATGTCGGTGGTTTCCATCCTAGTGAGAGTTTTTCTACAGATGAAATTCCATTAGTTCTAGAACTGTTGTAAACCATGCAACAAGTTTATTTCATATTCTCAAAGGGCATATTAAAGCAAACCTTTCTTTTCCTTTTATAATAAATGCTATATAATTAATATTCCTAAATATCAAGGGCTTTCTATATATCTGCCCAATAAATATTTTGGTAATTTTCTTCTTACTATAAAACCAGTATATGTCTTATCATAGAGAAATGAAATTAGGAACTAATAGTTAAACAAAAACAGGAAATGTAAAAGTATCCAACTCACCAGAGTTGGTTTTATATACTTGTGTGCATAGGTATAACACAGATATACCTATCTCTAACTATACTCCAGTTTTTAAAACAAAAGCAAGATGATATAGTTTATATTGTTTAGTGGGCTGCTTTTGCACTTATCACCATATAGCAAACATCTTTGTTATTAAATACTTAAATGCATCATTATTTTAAATTACCTTAATAGTATTCCACTAAATAGCTATAGCATAATTTGTTTGATCAGTCCTCTATTCTTATGTACAGTACTGCAGTGAATATCCTTGCGCTAAATCTTTGTGCACTTTCCTAATTTTTCCTTAGGATAAATTTCTGGAAGTGGAATTGATGTGTTTTTTTTTTTGCCAGTTACTCTGTAGCTACAGACCTTGACTCTGCAATCTTCATCATATGCAGAGAGCACCTGCACTGTTGAGCTGTGGGTGATCTCTTGATGCTTTTCTTCTGTCATCAAATAGCAGTTATTCTTCTAGATTTCTCATCCTACCCCATCTTAAACAAACCAGTTATCTCAGTTAAAGCAGCCTTTAAACTGACCTCTAAAATAAAACCTATCACAGAATCAAAGAACTAAGCAGGTGAGCAGGGGTGAGAATGTTGCGGATACATGCCACTTCTTCCCCATTCATCCAGTTTAGTCCAGTTTAGCCCTGACCAGTCACCCATTGCAGCCTCCAATCCTTTTCTGAAGAGGAGCTTGGCAGAAAAAAATAAATTCACTACATGTCAGTTGTGCATCACCTCTTTTGTATCTGAGTTCTGCAGCTTGGGCATTTGGTTTTAGTATTATAGTAACTAAAGAAAATGAAGTTAAGCAATAATTAATGAGTGTGGTTGTACTGCAAGTTTATTATACAAGGATTTTACCTGTGTTGGTATTTCTGGTTCATTTACAGAAACAAGCTTCATATTTTGACATTTAGTTGTCAACCTTTATGGTTGTGTTGGCACAGGTGTTAATTAGGTGTTTGGTAGCCCTTGTTTTAGTAATAATGCAGTAGCGTTTTCATTCTAAGAGAAACCTAATTAGAAGAAGTTGTAACTATATATTTTTTCCCATTATAAAGCCTTCTGACATCTATTACTTTAAAGAGGCCTTGAAATATATTATATTAAAAATACTCTGTACCTGTTAATTCATCAGATATGGATTTTTATGAACCTTTGATATTAGTTGCAGTGAGAATATGAGGGCAGCTTTTCCTTTCCAAAACTAATTAAAAATCCTGTTTAATTCTTTGTGGTTGATGGTTTTCTAAATCATCTTTGCAGTTTAGATATCTACTGCCTCCTCTTAACCTACCTTTCCCTCTTTGTCATACATGAATTTCACAATTATAGCAGGAGATAAAAATATCAGTCAGTGGTTTTGCATTGTGTTATTTTTGACTTTTGTGTAACAAGGAAATTAAATCAGCTAGTGAATTGGAGGCCTCGGATTAAGAGTGTTTACCACAGCATGCCGCCCTCCCCCTTGTGTAAGTACCTGGGGGTTGGCAGAAGCTAACACCGGGCACTCGGCTTTCAGCCAGGCAGCACTGTCATGTCATCCTTTTCTGGAAATGTTTGGCAATGTTCAGTTGTATAATAGTTAATAAGTCTGGTTACTACATAATCCTTACTGATAGAACCTTTAATGAAAGATGAACTTTTGTCACAGAGGCCTTTCAGAAACCTTTAAAGATTAAATTAAAAGTATAATTATTTAAATTGGACAGGATCATATCAGTGTTTTAATCTGACTCTTTCCTTCTGTCAGTTAGAAAATTGAGGCCTAAATTTGTTCAATATCTTGTTGCCGTAAGCTAGTTAGTAGAAACAAAACCAGAATATAATTTCAGTAACATCATTCTAAATATTCTGTATATTTTCACTTTAATAAAGTTATAAATTCCTCCTTTTCTAAATGTTTCAAATTAAAAGAATAGAATAAAATATCGTAGAATATTATAATATATAATTATATATGATTTGCATGAAATTATGTAATATGAAAGTGAGATTATGTTTATACTATTTTGGAGCTTGCCTTGAAAAAGATTTTATAGTCAGGATTGCAAATTAATGGAATACCAATCAAAGATAGGTTACACATATATGGTTTTAAAGAATATTATTATTTAACAAGCAGTCTGGAGATGGGGTATTTCTAGGGTTAATTCAGCATCTTGTCCGGTTACCAGGGACCCAGGCTCTTTCAGTCTTTCCCTGCTGTCATCCTTGGCTATATTCATTTGGTGTTTGGTGTTTGGGTTTGGGTTTGTCACCTAATAAGTACAAGATTGCTGCTACAGTTTCAGGTATCCCATGAAGACATGATATGTCTGAATCAAAAATAGGAGGAGTGGGTATACTTCCTCTCAGTCTCCTCTGTGTGTGAACAAGTAAAGCATTCTAAAAGCTTCCTAGGAGACTTCCTGTCAGGCCCATTCGTCACAGTTACCCAACCTAATCCAGGAGTTGGCAGAGGGAACAGAAATGCTGCGATTGGTTTAGACCAGGGGCTCTTTACAACTTTAGCACACATCAGAATCGTCTGGGGAGTTTGATAAAACACAAATTACTGTTCCCACCCCTAGAGTTTCTGATTCAGGAGTGGGGCCCAAGAATATAATTTCCAGCATGTTCCCTGGTGATCCTGATGCTGCCGGTCCAGGCCCTTGCCTTGAGATCAGTCCACACTTGCATCCCTGGGAGTAAGGAGGGGACCTCAGAACATAGGTGCTTGATTGAACAGTCACAGTTCTGTTAGCAAGGAGACAGGTTGGGCATAGCTAAAAGGTAGACCACCAGTACTGTCTGTCACCATTATAATTTGATACAGAATATTAAGTACTCTTATCCCCCCCACCTCATTCCTCAAATGGTTACTGTACATAAGCTTTAAAAAATGGAAGTTGAAAAAAGACACATTTAATATAATGTGGCTGCGTTATACTTGCTGAGTGAATTATTTGCCCAGATATAAACATTCTACGTGATTAGACTTGTTGAATCACAAGGCTGCTTTCATTAATTAATTTATTAAATATCACTTCAATAGGCCAAGGCAAGAAAAAAATCTGGTAATCACTTGATATTTAGAAGAAAGGGCTGAGTTAGTGAAAAATTAATCCATTAATTATTTCTCTGAGAGAAGGAGATAGATTTGACTAGAGGTCAGGAAATTTCACTTGTCTTAGTAATTTAAACAGCTGTGTTCAGCCTAATTTTTATACATTTTATTCCTTTCAAGATTATCACAAACCTAGTTATTAATCCTAAAATTCAGTAGCCGTTTCAGGAGTCAAATTTTCTGTGGAAGTTGGACTTAACCTTTACCTTGTGATTTTTAAGGCCCATTAATTTAGATGACAACTTTTCTGCTTTAGGTTTTAAAATAAAATAGTATATTTTCTCTTTTTGAAGAAAAATTCTGTGAAAATTAGAATGAACACACTTAACCACCCTTAATTCATTATCATTTTACTTTTTTTTTTTTCCCCCGCTACCAGTGAAATCTAAAGAAATGGAATCTGTGTTCCAGAACTCTTATTTTGGTTCCTGGTGAGCCAGAAAAGCTACACCACCAGAACTTTGATGCTTAATTTTCCCCTGGCTCTGTATTTTTCTTCATTTTCTGCCCATGATTTAAAATTTTTTCTTATACCTAGGAGTGATTTACTGTGAGGTTTAATGTTGTTACCTTCCAGCTTTTTCAAGAAGCTTATCAATGAGGATTGTGCCCTAGTAAATACCTAGGGCAGTATGCCACTTTAAAGTATTCATGATTTTGTTTTCTGCCACTTTATATAAAGCTTTAATGATCATGTTTTCTCATTACTGATAAAAATTGTGATCTCAGTCAATGAATTTAGGTAATCCCTAAACTGTCTAGAGTAAATTCACATACATATTATTCTCAAAATATACTAATACTGTGATTCTCTTCCCCTCCCTCCTGCCCAAAGTAGAGCCAGAACTATAGCATCTGAGTGGATAACATTGTAAACCTTACCACCAATGCTTGAATCTCACACCTTACCCCAACAAATTGGATTCATCTTCAACTTACGTGTTTTTCACAAGAGTCTTCTTGTTTCAACCTCCATCCAGCTTTTTCTTGCACAGAGTATTTCTTAGTTGTAGCACAGCTGATCACAGCGCATTTCCATGTATCCTTTCTCATCCTTTCCTTCTTTCCTTGTAACAAAGCACAGGACACATTTCACCTTGTCTTCTATGTACTCCAACCATATTTTTCTGATGGTTCATGTTCCCTAGTTCCACACACGTGCATCCTTATAGTTGGATGTGTTACATTTATTCTCCTTTGATGGGTGGGATATTTGGAACAGCATGATGAAAACTGTCGGTCACAGTTTTGAAGTTCACAGAGAAAAGTATGGCAATCTTATGACATGTTTAGGGCATAACGAACATACTTATTTATATAATAAGACCGTTTGGCTGGCAGGAACACCTTATTTTAAGTTGAAGTAATTTGGGAAGTAGCTTGGGTAGAAATAAAGACAAAAAAGGTGACGCTCCTATCAGTCATCAGTGCTAGCTAGCTAAGCACAGCTCTTACAGATTTTGACTTAAGATTTTTTGCTCTCTTTCCTTTTTTAAAATTTGGATCTAGGACATTACTCTCCAGATGTCTTGGCTA